TAAGTTGTCATTCTTCTTTTTGTTGTCTGTCGTTGCTAGAAGAAAGATGCAAAAATTCTGAGTATAAATATACCAGTGTAATATGATTTTGAAAGTGATTGACACTTGTCTTTTTCTCTACTTATTTTGTATTTTATTTCAGGATGAGAAAAATAAATATTTAATATCCCTGTGAAATGTGATAATTTTATTTTTTTTAGGTTTTCATGAAGTACACTTAAAAGATTGAGAGTGGGAAGAGAGATTAAAATAAGTGTCTTGGAATACAGATGAAATCTGTTGCATGAAGACTACTTACATTATTTTCTTATGCTGTATATGCATAACATTAGTAAAATAACTGATGTTACTAAATACTGTGGTTGATATTCTAACTTTAAGTAGGGCACGAAGAGTTAAGAAGGGAAGAATGTCACAGGAGAGCTGCTGTTGACTAGGCATAAAGGCAAATGGTTTCTGGTTCCTTGCACCGAAGGCAAGGAACTTCTGAATGCTGTAGCTTCCTTCTTAACATGCCCAGCATCTTGACTTTGCTTTCATTCCATTTCAGTTCTCAAGGCTGTAAATGTCATATACGTTTATTTTCTCATTCTAATTTGTCCTTATACTGAACTCCAGTTCATAACGAAACTCCAGTCTGCCTCCTATGAGCGTGGAGAGAAATCCTAATTACCTGTCCTTCTCTCTTAAGAGCGAATGGTCACTGTTGGGTGTTGGGAAGGCATTTAGCACACTGAAAGCTCCAAATGAAAGGAAGGACGTTTGGGCTGGGAGGAGGGATGTTTCTGCATCATGCTTGTCCTTGAGCAAACGTAATACACTCTTCACCACCTTTCCCTTATAAATACATTATTGAACCTTCCTTTGGTAGAGTCTCTCAAATTAGCATCTTGTTTTGTGACTCATGGTGGAAGAGGGTAGGCTGATGTTCTCTTATTAATCATGCATATAAAGGGAATGAGTTTTTCCACTTGTGCCAGGAGGGAAATACCAAGTTTCCATTGCACAACTGTATCATTCAGTTTACCAGTCCTTCCCATGAACTTGTTGTTACTGGTCTGACAGTACCATAAAGCAGTTGATTTTTGTATCCTTCATAATTTATCTGTGAGGAAAAGGAATCTGCAAGCATAGGTGCTATCAGTGTTCCTGCAGCTGAAGAAACTGTTTCTTTTTTCCCTCTCACCCTTTCCCCCTCCCCCTCCTTGAAAGGTAGCTATTTTCTTTTTCAGCCTCCCTTTTAAATTAATTACCTGTCAAACCTCCACATCTGACTCACCTATTCTGAATTGTCCCGTAGCAAACGTTTAGCTGTTAAAGAGAGAGCAATTTACTTTTTTGGTTGGCGTAGTCTTCTTGAATTAGATATTCTGGAGCCGCAGAGGGCTCTTAGGGGTCAATGTTTCTTTTCTCATTTGGAAGTTATTCTAATCATTGGAGTTATTCTGATCCTTAGTTATTCTAAATGACAGGATGTTTGGTCAATTTGTTATTACATAATGGATTATACATGGCCTATTTTTATATATACACACAAACACACACACACACACACGGTCTAGTGGAAGGTGTCCCTGCTCATGGCAGGGGGGTTGGAACTAGGAGATCTTTTAAGGTCCCTTCCAACCCAAACCATTCTATAACACATGTGGAATAAACAGTAGTTCAAAGGGAAATGCAAAGCCCTGCCCCAGGGGAGGGACAGCCCCAGCTGGAAAGCAGCCTGGCAGAAAAGGACCTGGGTGGTCCAGGTGGACACCAGGTTGAACATGAGCCAGCAATGTGCCTTTGCTGCAAAGAAAACAAATATTATCCTGGGCTGTATTGGAGGAGTAATACCAGCAAGTGGAGGGAGGTGATCCTGCCCCTTCATTCAGCACTGGTGAGACCACACCTGGAGTATTGTGTCCAGGTCTGGGCTCCCCAGTACACAAGAGGGACATGGATGTACTGGAGAGAGTCCAGTGAAGGGTCAGGAAGATGATTAAAGGGACTGATGAGGAAAGGCTGAGAGAGCTGGGACTGTTCAGCCTGGAGTTGAGAAGGCTCAGGGGGATTTTATCAACGTATATGAATACCTGAAGGGACAGTGCAAAGAGGATGGAGCCAGGCTTTTCTCAGTGGTGCCAGGACAAGAGGCAGTGGCACAAACTGAAACATGGGAGGTTCCCTCTGAACATCAGGAAACACTTTTCACTGTGAGGGTGGCTGAGCACTGGCACAAGTAGCCCAGAGAGGTTGTGGGAGTTTCAATCCTTGGAGGTCTTCAGAAGCCACCTGGACATGGTCCTGGGCAATGTGGTCTAGGTTGCCCTACTTGAGGAGAGGAGTTTGACCAGATGACCTCCAGAGGTCCTTTCCTACCTCAACCATCCAGCAAAGCTGGGATGAAGTAGTCTTTGTTGTTGTTTGTTTGAATTACATCAGCTGGAGCAGAGGTCTTTTTTTTTTTTAATAAAGGGGAGAAAAAGTAGGATTACTGTGTCAGAGCTGTGGTTCACAAACGATATACGAGCTGATGATAATTTGGAGAGTTAAAAATATTTTTAAGAATAGTATCTCAATGGCATGTTACAAAGTAAAGAGTAATGACTGTTCAGCTTCACAGAAAACGGAGTAATTCGTTTGCCTCTGTACCCACATCATCATCAGAAAAAACACTGAAGCTAAAATATGTGCAGCCCCTCACAAATGACTTACGAACACAAATTTAGGTTGAATGCAGGCCTGTTCTGCCAAATTAACACATTTCTGTGTTTTGTTGTGTGCTTTGCTGACAAAAGCTGTTGTTTTACTTGTATTACCTACGTTATACTATTTTGCTAAAGATTAACAGGTGGCATCTGTGACAGACTTACTTGTAGCATGACAACAAAGGCAGATTTTTGTTAACTATAGATCTATAAAAGGCTACTTATGATCAAGAAAACTATATGTACTTCCAGAAGAGTGCTGATTTCTCTTACTTAAAATATTTCATTTTACTGAGATTTAGTGAAGTTCCTGGATTTTGTACGTGACTTTGTGGGCGTTTTAGATCATTTTATGTCTGAAATATACCCATTTAATTTTATTTCAAACCTAGCGATTTCTGTTCTGAAATTTGGACTTTAAGGGAATGGATCAAGATTGAGAGGGAAAACTTCCTACCTGAAACCTACCCTCTGGTAACAGGAGCACCTGTGTTGCTCCTGCTTCTCTCTTCTGCAGGCTGGCAGTGCTCAGGCTGGAACCTCATGTAACAAATGTGACTGGAAGTATTGGTAGAGTAATGCAGCATGTCAGAATCCATTTATTTGCCTGCTGTATGCATGAATGTTGCTTTATAAGCAACCTGTATGGTATGTAGCACATCCGCTTACGTAACTGGGAGATAGATATATATAGATATATATATATTATACATACCAGTGTCTCCAGAGGAAGTGCCCTTGGCCTTAAGTATGGTTACTTGAAGAAAGATATTTCTTGTGAAGTTGTCTGTGTTAGCCCTTTGAAACTGATGGGAGCTTTGGTATCTTGAAGAAGTGTTTCAGGCATGTCTGAAAGAATATTCCAGGGTTTTGTCACTTTAATCTCTGTTGGCACAGACTGTTGATGTGATGTGCTGCTGCATTTGATTGGATATTGTATGTTTGTGCAATTGTCAATTCTGTTCAGAGGTGTTTTATTAGTATAGATTGAAAATTAATATATTAATCAGTTAATGTAGAACAGAAAGTACATTGGAACTTCTGCATGGAGAAGAATTTATATGGATGAAGATTTATTTTATGTAGAATTAAACTGCTTTCACTAGAAATCACTGAAGTTTTTAATTGAGGTTGTTAATAAGACCTTCGCCTGCACAATATTTTAGACAGACTTTAAGAACAAAAAATATAAGTGCTTACTTCACCAGTTTCCAATATACCTTGTTCTTGGAAGGGCAAGAGGTCTGTACTACAAAGTTGGGCTCATGTTGGTTTTGAGGATCTGCACTTTTGGAAAATACATGTTTGCATTGACTTCCTTACTTAATACCTTTTTTAAAAAACAAAACAAAACAGAATAAAACCAAACATAAGTAATTTTGGGCAGAATGACGGAGTATGAAGATTATTCACTGTTGGTTATATAAAACTGCTGTTGGGGGTACTGCTGAAAAGAAAGTAAAGGGCAAGTTTGGCCTTACGTATTTCAGAATGAAATTACTTGTCCCACTGCAAAGAAACTGTAGCTATGTATAGTTGGATCTTCAGGTTTCTAAAACACTTCAAGCATATCAAGTGGAATTGAACATAAGCTGCCATCAGTCATTTGAATAAATCAGTTAACCTAATGAGAGTCAAACAAAACGTTTGTGTTAAACTTTGAAAACAGACTAAAATAATTTCTGTAGTGTTTTCACTGTACTGGGAAGGGGAATTACTTGTGCTGTGAAAGTAAATGTGGTACGTGTTTGGCAGAGGAGAGGTTCTGAGCATAATTATCTGCAAAAGCACCAAAATCACTTGAGTGTGATTAAAGCTTTGCCAGTAACGTTAAGAGAATTTCTGAGATTGAAAATCTTTGTAAAAGTTATTTGTACGTGCTCAAAACCTACTTGTAACTCCTGTATCAGCACACAGTTACTGATATTCTCTTGCTGGCGTGCATATCTTGTACATGGATTGGAATGAGAGCAGTTTCCAAAAAGAACTTTTTTGGAATACTGTGTGTGTTTTTACACAATTTCCATAGTATTTCTGTCCTTTCAATAACAGAATTCTTTAAAAAGATAAGTTTCAGGTATGATTTAAATACTTGTTTTTCTTCACAGGATCCTTGCATAGAAAACTTCCTTTTCTAAGCCATGGCTCTGTACTCCTATTAACAAAAATCTCTGAGGCTGAAACATTTGATAATTTAAAAAAAAAATAAAAATTGCAGCACCTTTGTTGTTCCAAACTTCCCTGAACTGCCTTTTTTTTTGGTAAAGGTTTATTAGAAAGAGTATTTATTTTCTTGTTTTTTTGTAGCAAATTCTGAAATAGAGGTGTCTGTATCTGCAAGAAATGTGAGAAGGTTGCTTAGTTTCCAGCGATACCTGAGATCTTCCCGTTTTTTCCGTGGTATCACTGTTCCAAATTCTTCAAACATTTTAGATGATGATTATAATGGACAAGCAAAGGTTGGTTACTTGATTTTTTAATTATTTTTTTAAGTATGTTTTTTAAAATGTTCACTATTATATAGTTGTACCTTATGTTATGAGATGGTACAGCCACATACAAATTTTAAGCATGTATTTTTTATATATGTGTGTGTTTGTGTGTGTATATATATATGTTTATATCTAATAAAGTCCAGACAAAATTACCTGATTCCTAACAAACTCTTTCACCTCCAACAGGTTGACTGGGATGATTTTTAGAGCTTATATGGCTAGCAGTTTTTTTAATAACTCTAGTGAATGAAATGACTGGAAAAAAGTGAGGAAAGAAAAATGTAACTGTATCTAAGAGACATAATGGAGCAATTTGGACAACTATTACCCCTCCTTTTCCTTTTTAGTCTAACCTCATTACTGAACATCTGAAAGAGTGACTGACTACTATTGAAAATTCAATAAAGTGCCTACAGGGATTTATCAGGCTATTATTATGCTGCACTGACTTTTTCTTTGGTAGACAGTTCTTCTAGAAAAGAAAAGTGTGATAGCTCTGATACAGCTGCGCTGCAGTAAAACGTACTGGGAGGACGGGCAGTACTAGAGGAGTATCAGGAACAAAGGATGGATAGAGCTGAAGGGGAGTGAGTAGGCAAAGTTAACAGGTTATTCAAGATCCCAAAGGCTGTGTTGTCTTAATGATTATGTGTAAAGCTTCTTGTTCATAATGGTGAGGCAGAAAAGGAGTACGTTTGTATAATGCAACATATCCATACAGTACATAACCAGGCTGTGGTGTAGGAAGAACCCAGTAACCTAGAGAATGTATTCTTTAAAAAATGCACATTTAATTAAACAGCAGAAAGGTCTTGTTAATGCTGTTTGTTTCTTCTGGTAGCTGAGTTTTAGTGACTGGTGAAGAAGAGCTAGAACATAGTAATTGGATCATAAAACAGCTCTGCCAATCTAATGAGAATAGGAGAAGGCCAATATCCGTTGTAAAATGTGCTGAACAGGTATTTCTCATAGAGATAGGGGAAGCAAGGACTGTGACTGCCTAGATATTATTTCTCTTCTGTAAACAACAAGGGAGAGAAACCAAGGTGAAGGACTACACAGAGATTAACTACTAGTTTATTGCAAAAATTCAAAGTGGAAGAAGTCTGAACACAGTTACTCTGACACACTGTTTTCGTTTTTAACCTAATTGTTTTAAATTTTATTTCTTTTAAGAAATTGACTAAAAGTTGAAGGGAAATTTGAAGCCAGTGCTGTCAAGACACATTTTGCATTCCAGTTTTTCAATTTGCAACATACATTTTAAAGTTTTCAAGTAATCAGACATATTTAATTATTATTTTAATACTGTTTATTGTATATGGAAATCCTAAGACTTGTATCAGTCTCTGAAATCTTAAATACTTCTCTGGGCTATGGGAAGATAAGCATATACTGAGAAAAAGGTGCCAGCTTTTGTGTTTTCTTGCAGTGTATGCTGGAGAAGGTTGGAAATTGGAATTTTGATATTTTTCTTTTTGATAGACTGACAAACGGTGAGTTTACTTTTCCTATTTTATTTGTGTTTTATCTCTTAGCGTAACTTAACTTTTGCTTTGACATTGTGGTATGTGATTGTTTGCTCAAAAACACATATTTCATTAAGTAGTACTTTGATTTCATAGTCTTTAATCTAAATCCTAGTTTGCCTGGCCAGTCTGTTCAAATGCTGTCACTGTCAGTACTGATAACAATAACTAATTTGTAGTAGAGGACCTTCTTGTACTATGTAGGTTGCTGTTCTCTCTTTTATCATAAGCAGTAATTTGGTATCTATTAACAGATAATTTTGCTAATTTAGTCTTTTCTTTTTAAATTATGGAATGCTGATTTTTTATATGGTTGTGTCCAAAAAGTCAGTTACATTGAATAAGTATTTTTATGATAAATTTTATGTTAGGTAGAATAGTCCTATTGCTTTACAGTACCATAAGAAGGCAAGGTGGTGTGAATGCATTATAATTATTATATTTACCAGAATACCTAGAGAATTAGGAGCTGAGCAGACAGAAGCTGTTGTACATGTGGCTTGCACAAAATAAAAAATGGAAGAAAAGGTTATGGTTAGTTTTATGCAGTCATTACAAATAGTGGTAGGAACTCAAGTAGTTGCTTTAAAAAAAAAAAATCAAAGTATTGGTTAAGTTGTGGATAGACAGTTAGAAAAGATCTGTAAATGTGCTGGAAAGGAAGAAGGAGGGCTGCTGCTGCAGATAGAGTGAAGTTCTGTATTATAATCTGCAGCAATGGAAGCCAAGTTTTGAATAGAATGGAAGGAGATGAGGGAGTCCAGCAGCAAGGCAACATTTGTGCCAGTGTGGGAAGTGAATGGAGGGCAGCTCTTGCAGGTTTTACATTAGTCAAATAGAATTAGTAGCAGAGATGCAGTTGGTGTATTTAAAGTTGGCAAAAGGAAAGAGAAATGAAGTTCAGAAAGGAAAATTCAGTGCCGAAAAATAATTTTCTCTCCTGTTGAAGGGATGCTTAGCTTAATCTAGTGTAAAAGTAATATCCTCACAGTTTAGTACAGAAAATGGATATAAAAAATGAAAACAGTGAGGATTTTTACAAATAGAATGTTTATCTAGATAGTGATAAACTTCAGACTAGATAACTGAATGAGAAAAAGCTATGTGAGCAAGGTAACTTGTTTGTAAGCATAGTTTATTTCATATTAGTTTATCAGATGAGAGTAACCTGAAATCATCCTTTTTATACGAGGCCCTCTCTACCTTTTAAATACGCTTTTAAAAAAAATAAAAATATTTTAGATACTAGCAGTACAGCTTCTATTGTGCTATAGTGGATCCTTCCTACACCATCCTTTTTGCATCCTAATTTAGTGATTTTAGGAGGACATTTTGAACAGGCAGTCTTCTTCTTGAAAGTTTGTAAGGGGAGAATGCTGTATATAGACCCCTGCTTGATGAGCTATGCTGGATGAGCCTCTAAGAAAGAAATTACTTGGTAAATGTTGTTTGAAGATTTGTGTGTCTTATTGTGAGGAAGTGGCATGTATATGTGAATACATTAAACCCAGTAATAAGCTAGATTTAGCAGAAATTTTTGTCCTTTTGTACCTCAATTTCTGTCTGTGCTGGGTTCTTCAATTCCTGCTAAATGAAGATTGCCAGAGTCAGTGTACCAAAACTGAGTTATCTGCCACTGCATATTGTTTGCAGAGTAAATAACAGCCAAGCTATTTGCTAAAACATTTGCAGGCTATTTCTCTGTCTTTTTACAGTTTTACTACTGCAAGTGATTATAATGTAGCTATGAGTAGGCGAAGTATATTGTAAGCTTGGAATAGTATACATTTCCTAGAGAAACTTAGAGCTTTTTTCTTTGAGTTCTGGGTGAAATAAGGAGTAGTTTAGCAAAATACATACTGAAAATAAGAGATGGCATATGTACAATGTATGCTAATCAGTAGTGTTGGCTAGCTTTTTTCTACACCTAATTATTTTTGTACTTGGCTTTAAGCTGTATCTCTGTTTATAAATATCATGATGCAACATACCACAAAGTTGAATACCATTGTAATGGGTTTGCATGTTGAAACCTGTTGCTCTTTTAATGTTCAATAACTTTTTCCCCCTATCAGTTGACAGTGGACAGTTGGTGATTGTGTTAGAACTATGCAAAAACACTGGTGTTTAGTCCTAGAGGAGGTAGCTAATGGAATGTTGTCATGCAGTAAGATTGAAATATGTATCATAAATTGGTGTAGAGAAATTTGCTTATATAATTTTTGTGACCAAATTGTTTGAAATAATGTATTTCTTATTAAAGAGTCACTGATTTCATGGCTTCCAATGAATTAGTATTTTTGTCTTATTTTTAGGAAACAGTCTAGTGAGCTTAACCTTTCATCTGTTTAATCTTCATGGACTAATTGAACACTTCCAGTTAGATATGATGAAACTTCGTAGATTTTTGGGTAAATACAGCTTTTTATTATGATGAATATTGCTGTTTATCTGTATTTTTATACCTTAACTGAAGTGCTGGTTACAGTTTAGCAATAAACTTTGAAGAGTACTGATGCAGACCAGATCATGCAGTGATTTTAAATTATATTGATTGAGACAATCTCTCAAAGTTTCTACGAGTATCGAAATCTCCATCTTAAATCCAGACAAGTATTAACAAGTTTAGTAGTTTTGTAGAAAATGCTGTATTGTATTTATTAAATCTAAATGTTCAGGAATATATGTGACATTGTGTGACATTTTTATTGGGAGAGGCTAGACAGCTCCTTTCTTTGTTCTCATTTGCAGTTCTCTTTTAATCTTAATTCCCGAGGTTCATGGTACAGTTTCTTAACTGTACTGGATATGCCAGCTTGGCCATATTTAATGGTGCCAATTTGATGCTCTCTCTTGCTTGCTCAAACTCTCCTACAAATAAGCACTGTACTCTGGGCAAACTTTCTCCATAGTCAGAGTGCAAGACATTTTTACTCGAATGTTTAGGCCTGCAGCACTGGAATGCTTCAATGGAAAGAATTGTAAATATGATGTAGAATATTCAAACCAAGTGGTACTTTCATATGACAGCTGTGTGTCTTTCTGCATCCCCAAACCACAGACAGATGCTGGTGTGAGGCTTCCTTCAGTTCTTCTGTGACAGTGCCCTTAATTTAATTTTGTGGAGTGGGATGCTTTTTTTTGACTCAGCAGAGGAAACAAGTATCTGGTCCCTTTTAGCAGGTTTTCACAGTTTCAGAGAAAACAATTTTGTGGTTAGAAAGCTTGCAATTTAACAGGGCAGAAATCATATTTGGAAGGCTTTTCTCTTCTTTCAAATAGGGGAATGTTTTTTGTTTTCATCATTTAGTTTTCTTACAGCTTTAAAAAGGTTTCAGTTCTGTCTTGCATTTCATGGTGTTTTAAAGTGGACTCAATTTCTTCCAGCTTCAAAAAGGTAGATCAGCTGACCTGGAGGACTGGTATATTGGAATGTGAAGAAAATAATTATAGGAATCTGGTCTTAAGCTACTCAAGTTGTAACTGAGTGTGTTTTGTCTTTCTTATTTTGCTTATTTCCTGGATAGCTGAAGTTTAGAAAAAGACAGCACTTGAAATGAAAGATGAGTTAGGAGTGACTGGATTAGTTAAATGGTTATCAAGAGATAACAAGAGTCTTAACTACATATGACTACTCAAAGCCTTAAGTCACTAAAATGAGATTAGACTTGCAAGAAGGCAAAATTTTATTCTAGCTTTGAAATTCATCACCTTTCCCTTTTTGTTAATGCCTTCTACTTAACAGAAGTGAGAAGAATATTTCTTAGCTCTGTTCTGGCCCATCTGTCCAAACAAGGAACCTTTCTTCCAAATATAGCTTCTTAGCAGGAACCCAGTTAATTCTTTTCTTTTGCTACCTCTTATACCCTAGTCCAAAGTAATCTGAAGATCAAATTCCCGAAAAACTAGGACAGCTCAAGTGGTCCATAGTGCCACACAAAATTAACTTTATTTGAGAACTTTCTGGAATCTTTTTAAGGAGAGAAATCTGATTTTAGGATCTCAACATTTTATTTTTGTGTATATCTATCTATATCTCCCATATGTATGTGTGTGTGTGTATATATACATTTGTTTATACACATACACAGTCTTTCTGTGACTTCCAAAAGTTACTTGGAGATCTGTGTCCTCCTGTTGAGTGTTTTCAAGTTCTTATTGCAGACCTAACAGGAGGAGAAAAAATACGAACTACTGCGTTCCTGGAAACACAGGGTTGTTGTGCCATTCTAGTTATGGCAAACTGCGACCAAAATACTACCCTAGGTCTGCTTTATTAAAATAAGAGAATTGTAGACTTCAAGGTAGCTGGACTAGCCTATGACGCCACAAAAAATTGAGGATTAAGCCAAGGACATCCTCATTCATGCACTGAATGTGAGGAATAGGTGAAAGGCAGTTCTACTGCAGGTTAATAGAGCTTGCCAGTGCTTATTTTCATTATTTTCCATATGAGGTGTCAGCCATGCATTGAGTACTACTGAGATTACACAGTGGTTACAATATTTTAACTTTTCATGAGCCACAGCTCTTCACAAATACCATGACAGTAATGCTCTAACATTACAGTCACAATTACATGGAGGGTACTGGCTTGTAAACCAAGTAGGAAAAGAGGCTGTGATCATGTTTGAAAGGGACTGGGAGACTGTAGTCAGCCTGGAAAATGTTCTTTTGAGATTTGCTTGAAAGACCTGATGTCGTATCAGGCAAAACTTCATACTTTCATTGCTGGGCTTCAGATCTTCTATCCCTCCATCCTTTTTAATTTTATACATACTCAAGCTAATGTGGATGTCCTCTGAAGTATTCTACCTATGATGTTTAAAGACAGCCAGGAAGATGGAGGAAAGCAAGAAGTTAAATTAAAAATATTAAGTCTAGGAGTGGTTAGTCAGACCATCATCTAAATGAGATTCTTTTCTAAATTGTGTATAGGCTTAAGTTTGCCTGAGTACAAGTATGAGAAGATGCCTAAACTATGTAGAGGTGGCTTCCCATGACCACTCTCCTAAAGGGGAAAGAAGAGCACTTCATATGACAGGAAAGCAGTGCCTAATTCCTCTGATCCTGTCTGTTTTCAAGGCATGATATGAAGTCATCCTGATGCTTTGGTAAATAGTATCATCTTCATTTTGTATTCCAGGTTGCCTCAACATTCAGGCAGGCTAGATAATCAAGGGGAATCTTTGCTGGGAAGTTCTCAAAATTAAAGTATATCAGATTATATATTGATTTCAAGTTGTTTAGTTTTGCTCTGAGATGACTTTACATGTAGTTGATTTCCTTTAGAAAATACTGTTTCTTCACATAAAAATCTTTTATACCTGTGTCTTGGTTCAACTGACGATTTATTGACTTTGATGCTTTTACGTGTATTTAACTTGTGATATTGCATATTTCTATGCCTGACAAGGACATTTAAAATGGTACTTGAAAAAATTGCTTTTTTACTTAAATATGAATATTTGTTATTTTCCTGCAGTTATGGTTCAGGAAGATTATCACAGTCAAAACCCTTACCATAATGCAGTTCATGCTGCTGATGTGACTCAGGCCATGCACTGTTACTTAAAAGAGCCCAAGGTAAGGGGGCACTCTCACTTTCATGTGTACATGCAGAAATATATGTATTTGTGTGTGCGCATAGAAATGGCTTGTGTGCACGTATATACCTATGTTTATCCACATACAAACACTTTTTATTAAAAACAAACCAAAAAACACAACAAAAAACACTTTTGAACACAAAAAGGCAGGGAGTGACTCTCCATGTTGCTCATAACATGGGTTCACACTTAGCAGTATGCTTTTCTTTTCCCCCTGTCTGAGCTGGCATTGTCTTTGCCGTGACTTCTTGTTGAACCAGAGTAGGGAATTGATTAAGATCGCAGTTGTGTAACACAGTCTTGTGTCCCAAGACATACACATGGAATTGCAGCTTGAGTCAGAGCTGGCAATAATAAACCTGTGTGTTTGGGGTGTGGGGGGTTTTTTTGTTTGATTGTTGTTTGGTTTTTTGTTGGTGGTGGTTTGTTTTTTTTCCCCCCAGAAACTACCATTACCTTTGCTTTGCTCATTTAATGGATAGTATGCTTCTGCTAGAGGCACTTTAAAGCAAAACATTAGGAGTTCTCTTTGGCCTTTCTTCCTAAAAAAAAAGCAGTGTGACAGACCTTAAGGAGCTGAGCTAGTTGAGTTGCGTGTTTCTTATTGGCCTGCTGGCACTCTGCTCTAAGTGATGCCTTAAGACAATTTCAGGGCTAAATCCTGCACTTCTGTATTAAATTGAAAACTGCAGTGCTCTCTAGGCAGGTGAGACAAGTTGCCTACTTTGATGCAGATTATCTCCCATCTGGTATTCTCTTGGATAGCACAGCTCTTTATTCTGCTTCTGAGGAAAAAACAACTAAGTTCTGGCTCCGTGGATGTTTTTCAGAGGCTCTTTGCCCACTCCTCCCACTCAGTTTCTCAGTGCTGCTCTCAGATCAATCGCTGGTGCAGTGAGCCAAATCAGAGCTGATACATGATACAGAGCTTTTCTTATGGCATGCAGTTTGGAAGCTCTGGGCATTTTTTATTTAATACTCGTGATGGAAGTTTTGTAATGCTTCACATACAAGTATAGACTTTGGTTTTTTAGTAACATACACTGGTTCTCTTGCACCAAAGTACCTTATAAACATGTGAGGCATGAGAGATGAGAAGTGCAGCAGGGAATGTAAACTGCCCTCACAGGGCATTAGCTGCATTTTACTTTTGTGCGGGCAGAACTGTCCTCTCCGTTTCAGTGCAAGCTAGACTTTAGTGCTGAGTTTAACTCACAAACCTCACAACCAGAAGTACCAACAGCTATGAGCAGCAAAAGTCAGTCTGTGCAGTTTCATGCCGAGTTAATCGACATGCACTATTTCTTGAAAGTCCTTTTGGCAGATTTTCCTCCTTTGGTTCTTTTCCTGGTAATATAATTTTGTGTTAAGAGTAGAAATTAATTCTGAACATTTCTAAAGTCTTCCAGAGCATTAATTTCTTCTTTTTAAGATTAAAGGTGTTTATGTTTTTCAAATATACTCTGTATGCAAAGCAGAACTGACACATACAGACAGACCTGGTAAATGAGATAGCAGCAAATTCTTAAAATTAGCTCTCTTTTACAGGAGCTGGCTAGAAATGGTACTTTATTACCAGCCAGAAGGTAGCATTTTGTGTGCCAGCACCTGTTAAAACTGAACCTTCCCATTCAGAAAGAGTAATGCTTAAACCATTGTTGAAATCTTGTAGCTTTTGGGGGGTAATACTGTGAAAAGTCAGTGAAATATTAGTTTTACATTATTGAAATTTTCTCTGAGTTTTTATTGGCTGTTAATTACTAACAAAAATGCAACACATGCACTTTTTCTGAGGGCATACCTGCATTGCTAACAGAATTACGTGTGTTGTTATTATCTTACAGCTTTCCAAATCTTTAACTCCATGGGATGTTCTGCTCAGTTTAATAGCAGCTGCCACACATGATTTGGATCACCCAGGTGTTAACCAACCTTTCCTAATTAAAACAAACCATTACTTAGCAACTTTATATAAGGTAAGAACAAAATTGGTTGTTTTGTTAAAACCAGGTTTGGAGAATGCCTGAGGAGTACAGAAAAGGGAGTGTAAATTCTGATGTGTTTAGGTAGTGGTGGGTTTGAATCCAAACATTGTTTCCATGTCACTGGGATTTAAAAAAAAAAAGTGCAAGCTAACAAAGTGTTCAGGAGTTTTTAGTTTTAACCTTCTTGGAAAGGGAAGAGAAAAATAAAAGAAAAAAAAAAAGGAAGGAAAATAAAACACCACCCCCAAAGCCCAACAAAACTGTCTGGTACCACTTGTAGTACATAGCCCTTCAGTTTAAGAAAAAGTCATTGGTTGATACTGTAATCCCCTTTTCATTCACAGAATACCTCAGTATTAGAGAACCATCACTGGAGATCAGCAGTGGGGTTGCTGAGAGAGTCTGGTTTATTTGCACATATGTCATTAGAAAACAGGTATGTTTATGCAAAATAGTATAGATTAGTTTAAGATGTAAGCAAACTGTCACTTAAGTAAGACAGCCTTGCGAAACGAGCTAAATTATTGCATGGCAATTCTGAATACAAAGCATAGATTGTGATCTATTTTAAGAATTCCCAGATACCGTGGTGTTGGAGTAGAGCAGTTCATGGTGCAATGTGATATTTGGAAAATAACAGTTATTGTGAGCACACTCAACTAAGTGCATTCATGTAGTCCAGCACCTGTTTAGATTAAACTTAGCAGCCTTTTCTCATTCTGACACTACAACTGTAGTTTAAAATAGACTCTCTTCACCTACCTTAACAAGAAATAAGCTTTATACAATTAGTTTGTGCATTTTTAAGGGAAAAGGGCCGGGGGGCGGGGGAGCTAAAAACTGTTGTAGTCTTCCTGAAAGCTGACAATGAAACATCCTGATACTCCCGTGGATGTTGTAGGAATTTTTCAGAGAGGGAAAACTAACAAAAAAAAGAAACAGTTCAGTGAAAATGCTGTTTATAAAGCTTGTGAGTTGTATTTGTATAATAATGAATATGATAGAGACATGTAAATCTAGTGATGACTGCTGTTCTCAATTGTTATGTTTTTTGAAAGTTTGGTATCACTAATTTCAGGCAGCTGATGGAAAGCCAGATAGGTGATCTCATTCTTGCCACAGACATCAGTCAGCAAAATGAGTATCTGTCCATGTTTCGATCCTATTTGGATAGAGGAGACCTATGTTTAGAGAATGCAAACCATCGTCACTTCATTTTACAGGTGATCTTTTTGGTAATATCTTTGAAAACAGCATTTTAACATCAAAAATCATTTACTTGAAATGCTAAATACAACTTCTTCCAGGCTATCTCCTACTTTCAGAAGTGAAGTAGAAATATATTTTAGTCATTTTGTTTCATTGCAAAAAGTTTGTTCCCTCCACTTTATTCTCCCCCTCTTAAAACACTTCTCCCAAGTGATGATGTGTGTTGGTAAGTCTGATAACTTCGAGCTGCTAAACCAAGGAGAGTTGTTTCCAAGACAAGGTTTAGTTCTTCTGATGACTCCAGTGCGGTCTCAGAACTGTGAAATGCTTTGTCAGAACCTATTTCAGGAAAGGAAAGCACTGTTGTTGTGAATCAGTTTGCAGCTGTGCTTGAGTGAGGTTTAGCAAGCTTTAAAAACAAAAGCATTGAGAGTCTCTGTAGAGAAATTTTTACTATTAGGTTCATACCCTGGACTATAAAAGAAAATGGACAGATCAGTTCAGTCCTGTGCAAACCAGTATTAAAAATGTGAACTTCAGAACCAGAAATGTGCAAAATATTGTTTGCTTACTTTGATGTTTCTTTTTCTGAATTTATTGTTGTCTCCTGTACTCGTGAATATACTAAATATAGTGCCCCTGAAATACTCTTGACTTGACTGAATGTCCATATTACTCAGAGATGATAATGAGATCTCATAGTTTCCTGAACATTTATAAAACATTGTTATAGAACATAACTTCAGAGAGAAGCACGAATGGTAGGTAGGTTTGTAACTCACAACACTTAAAATAATCTACTGTCAGGAAATAAATAATTACAGATGCTTCAGTTGGAGGGAGAGGTGATCTAACGCTGTATGTTGACTTACCAGATGGCTTTGAAGTGTGCTGATATTTGTAATCCATGTCGGACATGGGAGCTGAGTAAGCAGTGGAGTGAAAAAGTAACAGAGGAGTTCTTCCATCAAGGCAAGTAAGAGTAGAAGTATCTGTTGGTACATAATGTTTTTATACTGTGGAGAGAGCAACCGTGAGTCATAGCTGCTTGCAAATAAAGGGACTTATATTTAGGACTAATGGAGATTTGCAGTACAGTATGGGATTTTTTTATTTTCATGAGTTGTACTTCTTGCAGAAGGTTGGTATTACTAAAACTCAACAAAGAATCCGAATCTAGAATGGCTGGTTCAATAGATCCTTCAGCCTGAAAGGTGCTTCAGATGAATGGTGATGCTCACTTTACATGTCCCTAGTGGTTTCAGTAAATTATGAAATATATTCATCATGTGCCTTTAAACTTTGGCTGTGAGGCCTGTTGGTAGGCAAGTAAGAACTAGGGAGGAGATTTTTAGTTACCACGCAGTTAAGGCGACTTACATAAGCAGTTAATAAAGCTTGTAATTGACAAGTGAAGTGAATTTTCTCCATTTTTATGAAATTGTTTTAATAATAAAATAAAGTGTGCTTCTTCTTTCTTAAGGCTAGTTTAAATGACTTGAGACCTGCTAATTTGTGCGTGGATGTGATAAAAGGGGAACAGACTGCTTTATTTGGTGCTAATCATGTGAAGCCTATTCTTGGATAAAGGCGATGGGGAAACAGAATAACAAATTGCCTTCAGTGAGAAATTTCTGAGGGCTGAGCAATTCTCTTCCATATTGGTCAGGAGGGGTCTGAATTTGTCATTTCTATGGCAGTCTAGGAGGTTTTGCAAGGAAGTATGTTAATCCTTCAGGAAACTTGTGATTTGATGTTTTTTCTTTAATTATTGTCTGATGAAAAACACAAAGTACCGTTAGTCTTGCTGACAGACCTGCTTGGTTTGGGTTTGTTTTGGTTTGGTTTGTTTTTTGGGACATGGAGGAGGGAAGTAAAATGCATTCAATCAGATGCAAAATGCCATCCCTGTTAAGCAACTTGCACAACTCGCCTCTGTCAGTGTTTGATGATTTCATTTGAATCTGCACTTGATGACTTAACAGTTGTATTATTCTTTTGTTTCTTTAGGAGATATTGAAAAAAAATATCACTTGGGTGTGAGTCCACTTTGTGACCGACAGACGGAAACTATCGCCAACATCCAGATTGGTAACTGCAGTTCAATTTATTTCAGTAGATTTCCTTCAGTATGCAATTTGAAAAAAGTACCTTTTAGATACAGTTCTAGATTCTTCTGTCTTCTATTTTTCCCCCTGTGTAGTATAGTTCAGACTGTCTATAGGGTAATTTGTTACAAAATCTTTCTTTTAGAAACTGAGGTTTCAAAAGTAACTTATGTGACTTGATTGCTGATATTTAGATCCACCCCCCCCCGCCATCTTCTCCAATATTTTCCTTTATTTGGTCATTGTTGTAAAAGAAAGGAGGTTGACTTGTAATCCAATATAATGCTTTTCTTTTGACTGACTAGTAAAATCTTTTACATTTTGAGAGATTATTTTCTAAAGATGCCCTAAATATTGAAATGACTTTTTAAATGCACACTGGAGAAGAGTAGTCTGATGCATTGGGTTGGGTTTTTTTGCTACTAAATTTTATTTAAAATATTTAGTTGGCGTATTTTTTCTGTTTTGTTTTGTTTTGTTTTTTAACTTGGATGTGTTTGCTTGTTTTCAAAGGTTTTATGACCTACTTAGTGGAGCCACTGTTTGGGGAATGGGCCCGGTTTTCAAACACCAGGCTGTCACAGACAATGCTTGGCCACCTGGGACTGAACAAGGCTAGCTGGAAGGGAGTGCAGAGGGAACAGTCTGGCAGCGGTGACGATGTTGACCCCACTTTTGAGGAAATGGACTCAGACATATTACCTCAGGAAACTCGATTGTCCTGACCTCAATCCTCATGACAAAACTGCCTCTTCTCTTGGTATCTGCACGGTTGGATTAAAGGAGATACTTGCCAGCCCAAGGTTTTGGTAAAATGATGCCAGCATTATTTATTTCCAAGTTTTCCTTTGACACAGACCATTTGAACCAGAATTTTTTAAACTGCAAGATCTGAACATAGAGCAATATGCATTCGCCTCAGCTGGTTTTCGTTCGGAACCCTGTGAATATGCAAAGCACAGCAGTGACTGAGCCTTGGAGGAACAGTATGAAAGCTTCATTGTGCCCCATGGCTTTGTTTTATCGGTGAAATTTGGAATACGGTCTTCAAATCTGAGACTTGAGATGGATTGTTCCACTTTCTTGGAATTTAGCAAGACTTGCATAAATGTGTTCAAAGCATACCTTCCACTCAGCCCCTGTTTTAATACGGAAATGTGAAGTGCCCATCCTCTGCTGCCTCTGGCAAGACTCGATGTTTACAAATGTACTCTGAAACTATTGGTTCTAGACTTAACCTTTGCGCATGGCTGTGAAGGAACCACTAACTTGGGTTTTTTGCTTTTTTAAAAGAAAAAGATCAAATCTGAGACTGCAGCTCTTTGTTTCTTTGGATGCCAGAAAAGCCTCCCATTTGCCATAATTTTGTTTGTGCACTGGGAACTGAGCATTCATCATAGAGCACAGCCAAGCTTTCCTCCAGTGCTGTATGGGAATGCAGTTTTTTAACGTCGGAAAACACTTCTGAGTTGGGGAAGGGAAGGGAAGGGGTGGGGTGG